CCCTGCTCTGCCTCACCACTGCTGCTCCCACTCTCCCTCTCCCAGCTCTCTCCTGTCTCCTCGCCCCCTTTCTCCTGCTTCACGCCTTGCAATATCTCCTCACATTCGGCAACAACAGCAGCAGCAGCAGCACTGCAACTGCTACTACCAATACCAGCAGCACCAGCAGCACCAACACTGCTACCACCACCGCCACCAGCAGCAGCATCAGCACGCACACCCCTCAGCCTTAGCAGCACCCGCAGCACCTCCCCTCGCCCCGCTCCCCTCCTGGCTAGCCACCTAGGGCTCTCCGGTGCTGCTGCCACGCCCAATAGGAGCGCGACAGCTGGCAGCGCTCCTGGTGGCACGCACATAGGTTGGGACGGTGAGAGGGGTTAACGTGGGACAGAAAGGGGGGGGTGGGTGGGTGCGAGATGATGGAGGGGTAGGGAGGGTGAAGGGGGGAAGAGGGATACGGGTAGGGAGAGATGTGGGATGAGGGGGGGAGTTCACACCCCTAGCCAGACCATTATAATGACACCATTATAATAACACCATTATAATAACACCATTATAATGACACCATTATAATAACACCATCATAATGACACCATTATAATGACACCATTATAATAACACCATTATAATGACACCACTATAATAACACCACTATAATGACACCACTATAATAACACCACTATAATGACACCATTATAATGGCTGGGAGGTCACCCAGCCATCTGGATTCGACAGAGCATCAGATTCGAGCACCCAGCCAGCCAGCCAGAGTTCACCCCCAGCTGGTCAGCTGGTTCAGACTCAGCCAGAGTGCAGGTCTCCACGTTTGACCGAGAAAGGACGGACCGAGAGCAGCGAGCATGCCCATTGCCCACCGTTATGGCCAGCTGGTTCCGATTCAGGCAGAGTGCAGGTCTGCGTGTCTGTCTGTGAATGTGAGGGTATAGAAAAGACTGACCAAGAGAAGCAAGGGGGCGCCAGGGAAGAGCGAGGCCGGCGGAGTAGACCCCGAGCATGCCCACCGTGATGGCCAGCTGGTTCATCTCAGACAGAGAGTAACCGAAGCGAACTAAAAACTGACCGAGAGTAGCGAGAGGGCGCCAGGGAAGAGCGAGGCCGGCGGAGTAGACCCCGAGCATGCCCACCGTTATGGCCAGCTGGTTCAGACTCCCCAACGCGCCCCTCCACGCATGGGGGGCCACCTCCGCTATGTACACTGGCACCTGGGGGGAAGGAAAGGGGGATGGGGAGAGAGGGACAGGTAAGGGAGAGAGGCGAAAGGGGAAGGCAGGTTGGTTTTGAGTTGACTCAGTGTGCCCCTCCACGCATGGGGAGCCACCTCCGCTATGTACATTGGCACCTGGAGGGGGTGACGGTGGGGAAGGGGGAGGCGGGGGGTAAGGGGGGCCCGGATGGGGAGGGGGAGGCGGGGTGGAAGGGAGAGGCGGGAGGAAGGAAAGGGGGAAGCGAGGGGGAAGGGGGAGGTGTGGAGGAAACAGGCGAGGGGAAGACAGGTTGGTTTGAGCGGAGTCAAAAGTCATGTCCATGAGAGCGCCTGACCATGTGCGAGAAGGCAGGGCACACCTCTTCTGAAAGAGATTCCTGGCAGGCAGGCATGCACCTGGGTTGGGGGATGGAGGGGGGAAAAAGAGAACTGAAGAGCCGCCCCCCGCAGTGTGAGACGAGAGCGAGGCGAATGGCGCTCTCAAGTCAAGACAGGCGAGGTGTACCGATCGGCGGCGAGAGGGAGGGAGGGAGACGAGCAGGACCTATGCACCCATCTGAAAGCATGATGCCTACAAGCCAAGGCAGTGAGGAGGGGAGGGGAGGGCCTACCACGAAAGATGCAAGACCCACGCCACACTAAGGCTGTTGATCTGTGCTCTGACGAAGGGCAGCAGTCGTCTCTCTCTCTACCCGCATTTTTTATATTGAAGGCAGTGAGGGGGGGAAGGGCCTACCACGAAGGAGGCAAGACCCACGCCAAGGCCGTTGATGACCCGAGACAAGAGGAGGAGAGACAGCGACTGGTAATAGGTAGGGGAAGGACGAGAGGGTGGTTGTGAAGAGCTTTATTTCTGGCCTTTTCAAGAGCACGTGGCTGTAAAGAAAGAGCGAGACACACACACAAAAAAAAAGAGCAAGGTCACTCTTTGAGGTGTTGGAAAGTGACTGTATTGAGAAATCACTGAATTGTAAAGTACTGTTTATAACATGAATATGAGTGTCTGCGTGCATGCGTGTGCCTCTGGGTGTCTTCCTACCTGCGCCAAGGCTATTCCCCCCCATCCCGCCGCCAGCAGCAGCGCAGCCAGCGCCAGCGCCCTCCTGCGCCCCACTCCTTCCGCCACTGCCCCTGCGGCCACTGCGCCCAGCATTGCGCCCACTGTTATGAGCGAGGAGAAGAGCGACGCGAGCGCGGGGGGCAGGCGCAGATCCGCAGAGAGAGAGGCGAGCGCGGGGGAGGTGTAGCCCACCTGCGGGGGAGGGAGGGGGAAGGGGAGGAGGAGCGGAGGGGGGACCAGGGAAGGCAGGGGAGAATGGGGAGGTCGAGGGGAGAGAGAGAATGGTCGGTTAAGGGATAGCGGGAGGGGGGCAAGAGACTGAGAAAGATATGACAACGTTGAGGGGAAGAGGCGGAGAAGTCGGAAGGGGGAAGCATAGCGCGTGGGGCGGGCCTGATGAGAAGGAGGGGAGGAAAGGGGGAAATATAGCTCATTTACGGGGTAAGAACGCGGGACGTATAACCCATCTCCCCTGCTCGCTTTCTCTCTCTCCCCCCCTCCCTCCGCCGTTCCTCTCTCACCGCATATCCGAACGAGAAGGCGCCAAGGCACGCGAAGCAGCACCAAAGAAGCGTCGGCAAGAGGCCCTGATACTGCCGCTGCAGCTGCTGCTGCTCTCCCGGAGATTCCCCCTTCCCGAGACCGTCTCTATGCTCTCGCCGCTGCTGCTCTCCACGCTGTCCTCCTTCCGCGTTGCGCCCTTGGGAATGCCGAAGCAGAGGCTCCTCCAGCGGCCTGACCGACGACCACGACGACGACGGCGAACGATCGTCAACGACTGGCGTCATCGTTGCTTCTTCGCCAGTCGCTTCGCGCAACTCGCTAACGCTGACGTGGCTGGCTGCTGGTCCGGCCATCGCCGCGAGCTCAACACATCAATAGAAGAAAAAGAAATCGAAGCGACGGCAGACTAATCGCCAATTCTTTTCTAAGCCGCTTGTCCTCTCCAGTCGTTCACTTGGGACAGTGAAAGGACCAAACAAAATAGCATGTGTAAAGCCTCAACTCTTTTCAGCCTTAGGCACACAGGTCGTGGCAGATGGTCCTGCTCCTGCTGCTCTGCTGCTGGTGTTTCTCGAGATTGCCGCTCTTTTGCGCCAACGATCATTTGTTCAGCCGCGCTTTGTGCTGACCTTTCAGCGGAAAGTATCCGTTTCAATCCGATTCGGTTAAAATTGAGGTTTGAGTGTTGAGTGTTGAAGCCAATTTGAATAACATGAGCTTAATAACACCAATAAGGAATCATGATTTTGATAGAAGGGCAACAATAGCACGGAGAAAATGAAGATATAGGATTCAAGAACCTGTCACCCACTAGAACCGGACGGGACCTTCACATCCGCTAGTAATCTCGCAGCCATGGCTCCTGCTCTCCTCTGTTCCCACTCCTCACTCCCATTTTCTTGACCTGAAAACGCCAAACCCCCCTCACTCTCTCCTCGTCTTGCAAGCGTCTCCTGATGAACCTTGCGTGCAAATATTTGGTCATCTTGGCCGCACGGGCTTGGAAAAAACTCGTCCACTGAAGGACGAGTAAACACACCCGCCCCCTCGCTCTCCCCTCCTCCGTTTGCCCCATCCCCCTCATCCTCCTCTTCTGTTGTGTCGTCTTGCTCCCTGTCTCTCTCCCCCACAACCCCCTCACGAACTTCTTTGTTTTCCCCATCTTCTGATATCGCTTTGCTAGGCGATTCTACTGGTTTTGCTGCGCTGTCTAGAAGGCTGGTGACGTGGACACATGGCACGCCCTGATTCGTCATCACGGACTGCACCTCCTCAAGAATCGTTCTTACCTCAGGCTGGACGGCGCGAGAGAGGAAGGACATGGGGAGAGTGGGAGGGAAGAGGAAGAGGGATGAAGGTAGCGGCAGGAGGGGGAGTGGGGGATGAGGGTGGGGAAGGCTCTGATGCTTGTTGAAAGAAAAAAGTGGGTGGTCATGTGAGAAATGGGCTCGGAATGCACAGGTACATGGGAGGCCAGTGGTATGAAACTCAATTGAGCAGTGAGTGAGAGAGTTGAGTGCAGTTTGGTGCATACAGCCTTGGCAGTATTGGCAATGCAGGCAGTACAGGAACTGTGGCTTTGCGTGTGGGCAGTACAGGAAGAATGGGGGAGTAAGGAAGAAGCATACAGGCAGTGTGGGCGCAGCCTTGCGTTTCATGATGAACACATCGATGGATGGGTGCTGGTACTCTGCATGCAACTGATGTGAATGCAATGCACGTCCACACAAGCACACATGCACACATGCACAGCAGAGGTAGAGGATAGAGAACATTCTTCAGAGCAGTCTAGTTTTGAGGCGCCTCAAAACTAGGATAGAGAACATTCTTCCATGAGCAGGAGCGTTTTTCTAGTGCACAGAGACACACAGTAATAAGCGGATTCAAGAAAAAAATCTTGAAAATAGGGGCACACCAGATAGAACCTATGCGTGGAAAGAATGGGGTGGGGTTGGAGGGGTGCTTGTCTAAGGTGAGAAGGGGGGGGGGGAGAGGGGGGGAGGTCACCTAGGGGATCAGGAAGGTCGGAAAGCCACAAAATGCGGAACCTTCCAAGGCTGACCTTGGTAGCAAGGACCTTCTTGACGTCGAACATCTGCTTCGCATATGCATGCAGGCAGTCATGCATGCAGGCGATCATGCATGCAGGCGATCATGCATGCAGGCGATCATGCACTGTGGCTGAGCGTGAGAAAAGCCGCAGGCGGCGGGCTACAAGTCAAAGCTCACCTTTGTAGCAGGGACCTTCTTGACGTCGAACATCTGCTTCGCGTATGCATGCAGGCGATCATGCACTGTGGCCGAGCGAAACTCGTATCCCAGCTGCACACATGCACGCACGCACGCAAGCAAGGAAGGAAGGAAGCACACCAGCAAACAAGCACTGTGGATGCAAGAATGCAGGCAAGGAAGCAGGCAGACGTGCTTCATTCGTACTCGAGTGCAGAGAAAGAAAAGGAGGGCACGCGAGGAGGAGAGTGGACGGGATGGAGCGAAGGGAGAAGTGGGAGGAGAGAGAATGACAAAAGGGGAACAGAAGAGTGGAAGAGAGGTTGCTGGGAGATAATACTGTAGTTTAGAAGGGAAGAGAGATCTAAGTAGCAGCATTGCAATGTGCCGATTTCTTAGGGCTTCAAGCGGCTGTCAGGGAAAAACTGGTGGAATGGGGACCTTCACAGCAAAAATTGGCAATTGAGATTCTAGACCGGGTTGCCAGACAGAGAGAAAAAAAAAAAAAAAAAAGATTTGCCACAAAGAGGCGGGGGACAATCTGGGGAAAAGCTGCATAAAAGCTGCTGGTCACAGGACAGGGAAGCTATGGGCTTTTTGAATGGGAAGCGGGGAAGGAGAACTGGAGATGAGGAGCTTACGAGAATGGGGGTGCGGGGGTGAGAGAGGGCAAGCATGGTTGCAAGGAGAGCCGGGACAGAGTCTTCTATGTACACCTGGTGTGGATGGGCAGGGAAGAGAAGATGAACACGTGGACAGATGCACGGATGTGTGAGATCTCAAACACAGGGAAAAAGGGGGAATGCAATGCAAGGGTGAGAATGAGAATAAGAGGAAACGCAAGGGTGAACTAGGAAGTAGCATGGTACGGCAGAGAAAGGGGAAATACGAAGAGGAGATGAGAGTGGAATCAGCTAAGGGGCAGAGTGAAGAGACGAAGAGTGAACAGTGAAGGAGAAGAGAGCAAGAGAGGGAACAGGAAAGAGGAGAACGGGAGAGGTGGGGAGAGGGGGGCGGGGAGGGGGAGAAGGGGAGGGAGAGCAGGGAAAGTGGAAAGGGTGGACGGAGGAGAGGTACGGAGTGAGTGATACTGACCACGTCAGTGGCAACAATGGTGTCAAAGGGAGGGCCGACTTGGGCTATGTGATGTGCGTTGCCCCACCATAGCTCTGCTACCTCCACTGACCCCACACTGCCTGCCCACGCACATGCACATGCATGCATGCAGACACATGCACATGCACATGCACATGCATGCATGCAGACACATGCACATGCACATGCACATGCACATGCACATGCACATGCATGCATGCACGCAGACACATGCACATGCACATGCATGCATGCACGCAGACACATGCACATGCACATGCACATGCATGCACGCAGACACATGCACATGCACATGCACATGCATGCACGCAGACACATGCACATGCACATGCATGCATGCACGCAGACACATGCACATGCACATGCACATGCATGCACGCAGACACATGCACATGCACATGCACATGCATGCACGCACGCAGACACATGCACATGCACATGCATGCATGCACGCAGACACATGCACATGCACATGCACATGCATGCACGCAGACACATGCACATGCACATGCACATGCATGCACGCAGACACATGCACATGCACATGCATGCATGCACGCAGACACATGCACATGCACATGCATGCATGCACGCAGACACATGCACATGCACATGCACATGCATGCACGCAGACACATGCACATGCACATGCATGCATGCACGCAGACACATGCACATGCACATGCATGCATGCACGCAGACACATGCACATGCACATGCATGCATGCACGCAGACACATGCACATGCACATGCATGCACGCAGACACATGCACATGCACATCACATGCATGCACGCAGACACATGCACATGCACATGCATGCATGCACGCAGACACATGCACATGCACATGCACATGCATGCACGCAGACACATGCACATGCACATGCACATGCATGCACGCAGACACATGCACATGCACATGCACATGCATGCACGCAGACACATGCACATGCACATGCACATGCACATGCATGCATGCACGCAGACACATGCACATGCACATGCACATGCACGCATGCACACACAAACACACCCACCCCATCAGTAGAGGTGAATGGTGCGCTATCAATTGATCTGAGACGACTAACACTTCCAACTACCAAAGCGCCATCCACCCATCCACCCACCACCCATACAACCACCAGCCACCATCCAGGACCCTCAGTCCAATCAACTACCACCCACCCTCCAGCCACTACCAATCACCAATCACCAATCGCACATCACCCATCACCTACCACCTACCCACCCAGCGCACGTCATAAAACATACCGAGGAAGGAGTCAGCAGCAGCGTCCATGGCGGCCTGGGACTGCAGGCGGGTCACGTTGCGGAAGAGAAGAGGCAGCACCAGCGCTTCGTCTGTCAGCACCACGTCACACCCCAGCAGCGCAAACCCTGCCATGACAAGCCGGGGAACAAGGGGAGGGGATCACCAAGGCGAGAAAAACAGTGCATCTAGGGTGTGAGCAGCAGAGGCAGCACCAGCGCTTCATCTGTCAGAACCACGTCACACCCCAGCAGTGCAAACCCTGCCATGACCAAGGGGGGGAAGGTTCGGCCGTTTTATAAAAACAGTGTGTTCGCGATGTCAACCACGCAACACCACGCCACACCACACAGCACCACGGCTCCTCCCATGCAAGCTCATCCAAGCCAGCGAGGCCCAGCTCTATGGCCCGCTTCCCGTTGAGCTTCGCCCGGGAGAACTCCCCCTTGTTGCTCCTATAGGTGCAATAGAACAACCGCACCACGCCACACCACACCACACCTCACCACGCCACACCACGACTTACTCCTCCCATGCAAGCTCACCCAAGCTAGCAAGGCCGCAGCCAGCTCCCAGCTCTATGGCCCGCTTTCCCTTGAGCTTCGCCCGGGAGAACTCCCCCTTGTTGCTGTGCCTCCTATAGGCGCATCAAGGTACACCGCACAACACCGCACCACGCCACACCACGCCACACCACACATCACCACGGCTCCTCCCATGCAAGCTCATCCAAGCCAGCGAGGCCCAGCTCTATGGCCCGCTTCCCGTTGAGCTTCGCCCGGGAGAACTCCCCCTTGTTGCTCCTATAGGTGCAATAGAACAACCGCACCACGCCACACCACACCACACCTCACCACGCCACACCACGACTTACTCCTCCCATGCAAGCTCACCCAAGCTAGCAAGGCCGCAGCCAGCTCCCAGCTCTATGGCCCGCTTTCCCTTGAGCTTCGCCCGGGAGAACTCCCCCTTGTTGCTGTGCCTCCTATAGGCGCATCAAGGTACACCGCACAACACCGCACCACGCCACACCACGCCACACCACACATCACCACGGCTCCTCCCATGCGAGCTCACCCCCAGTCCAGCGAGACCGCAGCCAGCCCCCAGCTCTATGGCCCGCTTACCCTTGAGCTTCGCCCGAGAAAACTCCCCCGTGTTGCTCCTATAAGCGCATTAAGACACACTGCACCATGCCACACCACACCATACCACACCACACAGCACCACGGCTCCTCCCATGCGAGCTCACCCAGGCCAGCAAGGCCGCAGCCAGCCCCCAGCTCTATGGCCCGCTTCCCCTTGAGCTTCGCCCGAGAAAACTCCCCCTTGTTGCTGTGCCGCTCCTGCGGTAGTGCAGGGGGAGAGAGGACGTGAGTGGGGAAGGAGGGGGCAGAGTGGGAAGGGTAGTGAGAAAAATGTGTATCGTTGTTCCCGTAAACTGAGGGAACTTGAACAAGAACGAGGGAGTTGCACATGGGAGGGGGGAATGGGGACCAGGGGCATAGAGCTTAGGATCGGGGAGATAAAACAGGGGAGTAAGGTATTTGAGAACCACAATGCTGCAAATAAATTCATCTATATATTAATTTAATCAATTACCGAATTATTCAACAAGTTTCTCAGAAATTTTGAGACGTCTCTCAGCTGGATGTGCGAGGGAGAGAACGGACCAAGTATTTGAGGACGACAATGCTGGAATCCCACACAGTCGTGCCCACGTGCTTGGAATTGGGATCCTGGTGGGGGAGAAAGCGAAGGGGGAGAGTACGGGAGGGAGAGAGGTAGAGAGACGGATCGGGGGAGAGATGGGAGGAGAGGAGGAAGCTGTGGGGGGGTAGGACGGGTTGAGGGGGAGGAAAGGGGGAGCGGAAGGGAGGTAGGGGGATTCAGAAACGGCGGGTAGTGGATAAAAGCTGGTGAGGCGGTGTGAATGGACGCAGCAATACGAAAATTGGGTTGCTTCAACAAGAATTACCCTGAGACCCGGCCGGTAAGAACCTCCTTTTTCACCTGAACAAACTGGCGATTCACCTGTAACACGGCAAATATACCTGGGTGACCCGAAGCCGATGTCCCATGGCCTCGAGTTCTATAACGTTAGTGGTGGGTGTGTTGAACCTACGCATAGGGAACGTGGTGAAGGGGAGCGGACGACGCGTTTAACGCAAGATTCGGTAGGCGAGGGAGAGCAGTTGTACAGGGAAAAAGAGGGAGAGGTAGAAATTATAAGGCGGTTCTCTTTGTAAGTGCCGGCATCCGTCATGGGTTCGAAAGTTTGAAAGATTGATTTCATTTTCTCACTCGTCACAAGGATTGGAGTCTGCTGAATGAGATACTACCAGCCGTAAATTCTACCACCCGTCTGCGAATATGGCACGTCTCACCGATCCTCCATGGCGAATTCTGCCAGCTGACGGCTGAGAGCCTCGAAACGGCAAGTGTAAGGACTGGAAAGCTGCAAAGTTGAACGGTTTAGAGCTTTTGGCCTAGTATCCAGAACCGTGGCGTCAGTTAGAACTCAGCGCTTTGGAAAAACCAGCAGTGGGTTTAGGGGGTGAACACTCTTCTGGCCTCGGAAACATTGCGGGTTCCCAAGGTTCAGGGCTCTACAAACATCATTTACAGCGGTTTCTACACCCATCGTTTCTAAATATCAGTTCTCCAAGAACCATTTTCCAATTCTGAGATCTGAACCAAAGCTTTTTTGTAAACAAGTGGGATGGACTTGTTATACAAAATACGTTTGCGTTATATAATGTGTCTTCGTCTGTTTTATCTGGGAGTTATTTGCAAAACACACTATTTATAGTTATAGCAAAAAAATTCTTAAGACTTTGAATCAAGCATGAAGATAATCTTATTCTCGTGTAAGCGCCGAGCTTAGTCCACAACAAATTGCATATAAAAGGGTAAATCAAACTTAGTATTTCCACTCATTGATGAGATAATAAAACAAAATGAACACCTGATTGAAGTTTTTTACGTCATAGCGCCAGTACACTTGCAGCACGGTCCTTGGAGCTTCAAGGGCTTATTTCGATCATTTCGTGGCACGTTTCGGGCTTATGGGGAATCTTGCCTCCTAATCACAGCACCGTGCGACTTGCACTGTAGGAGACGGAAACAGCTTCCACCAAGCCCTGGACAGTCGCCAACCGTCTGCGACGGGTTACTGCAGTGCTGTTGGGCGGTAGGAAGCCATCAAGCGCCAATCAGCAGAGCCAATCTTCCCGTGCGACTGGACTTCCGTCGGACAAACCCAGGGCGGATATTTTGCGTTCAGACCACTGCGGCTCTTGAACCAGATGCATAGCTAGTGTAACCTAGTATCTACGTCCAGTGACGTTTTGGTATTTTGCTTCAGATCCAAAGTTGAAGCACTTCAACCGCGTGCTTGGAAACTGTCTCCCGTTACAGTAACATAGCCAAGTACAGAAGTCCCGCTGTTTCGTCCAAACCCGTATTTTCCAGATCGCGTGCTTCTTTTTCAGCGTCGTCTCGTTAGCTAACGTTAGGATCAGACCGCCGACTGAGCAGCAGCAGCAGCGGCGGCGGCGGCGGCAACAGCCATGGCGTGCCGCGGATTTCTTCAGTGCTTGTTGAAGCTCTTCAACCTCGCTCTCGCGCTCGTCGGCGTTCTACTCCTCGTCTTTTCCATTTCCCGTCTCCTCCGTCTAGATCCCGACATCTTCCCCCCTCCAGCACCCCCTCCGCTCCTTCCCCCGTCGCCACCTCCCCTCGCTCCCCCTTCTTCTCCCCCTCCCCCTCTTCACTCCCCCCCTCCTCCGCGTCACTCCCCCCCTCCGCCTCTCCACTCTCCGCCTCCCCCTCCGCAATCTCCGCCACCGTCTCCGCCTCCCCCTCCGCAATCTCCGCCACCGTCTCCGCCTGCTCCCGCGCCGGGTCCCGCTTCTGCAAACGGCCTGATTTCCGAAGAGACGATCCTGCAGAGCGTTACGTCAAGGCAGGTCGCGGAAGATTCCGCCAAGGCAGCGACATTCGCGGCCACGCGAAAACTCGCCGCGGCGTCGGGTGCGACGCGAGGCGTATCGCTTCTCGAGATCGACGCCGCACATGACGGCGCGAGCAGCGCAGCAGGTTCTTCGGTCGTTGCAGCTCTCCCGCAAGTCGAGCTACCCCGATTCTGGTAGGCCGACTTTAACGTTTGTGCTGCCTGCTGAATGCCGTTTTCAAGGTGGGGAGATTTCGGGGAGATGAAGAAAACGTGATGAATGTTTCCCTTTTTACAAGTCCACGCACACGTTTTCGCCCTTCCATAGTCCATACACGTGCGGGGTGGGTTTGAGGTTTGTCGTAATCCATTGCACCGTATGCGTGTCGTTTTACTCACTCCTGACACGCCACTCTCGTGACATTACCCTGTTCCGGTCGTGAATCACTGTCTATAAACTCCTGAATCTCCTTCCATTCCGTCGCTCCATGCCTGTTCCGGTCGTGAATCACCGTCTATATATTCCTGAATCTCCTTCCATTCCGTCGTTCTACGCAGGTTCATCTACCTCATGATTGGAGTGGGTGCGTTTCTCACGCTTGTGACTTTAGTGGGTGCCATTGCCGCGGAGACCAACAGCACGTTCTGTCTCGCCTTTGTATGTCGGCTTCTCTCGTTCCTCTTTCTTTTCTCTCTCCTCATTGTCCCCTCCTCTTTTCATCCTCATTCTTTGTCATTCGTCGCCTTTGATTGCTCCTGTTCACCCTCCTGCCTCTCCGATCTCTCGCCCTTCCATTCCTTTCATTTCCTCCCCCACCACCTACTCCCCTCCGCCCTTGTTTCCCGCCCCTCCCCTCTTCCCAATTCCGTTGTTCCGTCTTTCCCTTTCACCGCCATCTAGTATTCCTGTCAGGCACCTATTCTTGTCTCCCCTGTTCTTACAATCTCTTGGCGTTTTCCCCTTTCCGTGCCCTTCTCCTTTTGCGATCCCCTTTGAATCATCCCTGTGCAGTATCAGTTCGGTCTGTGTCTGCTGATATTGTTCGAGTGTGTTGCATCAGCCCTCATTTGGCTTGAGGTAGGTTAGCAAGCCCCCAGGTGGGTTTGGTAAGCCTTTAACCTTACAAAGGGGTGAAATATTTGGTCGTTTTCCATGACCTTACATCAACGTTCTTGAGTGTCATGCTTCTTGATGGTGCACTAGCAGCGGAGCGCCAATAGGGCAGAAAGAAGAAGAAAGAAAGAAAGAAAGAAAGAAAGAAAGAAAGAAAGAAAGAAAGAAGAAGAAGAAAAAAAATAGCAAAAGCTAACAACGCTTGCTGTTGCCTTTCCCGCCAAACCCCTTCCCCCTCTCCTTGTCTTCCCCTTCCCCTCTTACTCTTCCGCCTCCCGTCCCCCGCGTCCTTTCCCTGCAACCAGGACGTGCCTGTCGACCCTACAGGCGAGTACGACAAGTATCAGCGTTACGTCCTGGCGAACCCAGACAGAAGCAGGCTGGCAATGGCTGGCCTTGTGCTCATTGAGGTATGTATCATCATGTGGAGAGTATAAGTGGGACATACACCTGTGTTGCATTTGGAAAGGAATGTGCTGCGAGCCTGCCCGTGCCTTGAAAGAGTTTTTTCTGCGTTGGCCCATGCTGCTGTCCCGTCTGGCAATTGCGTGATAAAGGTGCTACGTGCATGGCAATGATAGAAAAGGTATTTCTTCCTTTATGTACATCCCTTCAACCTTGCATTGCACCCACTGCCGTTCTTCCTTTCTCCTGTCCAATCCCCCTCCACCTCCTCACTCTTCAGGTGGCAGCGCTGCTGGTCGCAATGATGCTACGTGCAGCACAGGACGACGCGAGCCAGGCAGAGGATGACGACGATTATATCACAGGAGGCACGGGCCGAGGAATTGGAGGAGCGGGAATAGGAATCGGAGGAGGAGGAGGAGGTGGAGGGCAGGGTAGGCTGCGTCAACCACTTGTGTATCGTGGCACTTACCCCTCTGTTCCTGCTTATCCTACTGCCGTAGGGGCTGGGGTGGGAGGAGCGGTGGGGAGTGCTGGAGCAGGATTGGGAGGCGTGTATCATGGTGCAGGGGCTTCGGGAGTGGTGGGAGGCGGTGTAGGGGCGGCGGGGCAGACACATGTGCCGCTGACTGATGCTTGGCGACAGAGACTGCTGGAGAAGGTGGGTTGTTGGGTTGGATGTGGTTGGGTTGGGCATCTCTGATGTGTATTTTTTGGGGAATTTCGTATGCTGCTGCTGCTGCTGGTGCTGCTGCTGTGGATGGAAATGATTTGTACTTAGCAAATGAGCGTTTTTCCCAGGTAGTTTCTTCTTATCCAGCTGGGGCTGGATAACCTTTCCTTCTTCACTCCCTCCTTTCTCATGCCTCCCCATCTTTCTAACCCTTTTCCTCACACCCCCTGCGCTTCGCTCCACCCCTTTCCCCCTCTTCCCTTGTTCTTATGACTCGTGATCATGGCAGTATGGTTTGGATGCGCATGATTTCAACTACGGTCCACCTCCAGGCCATTCCCAAGCCGCTGCCCCTCCCCCATCTACCCCTCGCTCCTCAGGGTGCTCCATAATGTGAGGGAATGTAGTGGTGTAGTATCTTGGCTAAGATGGAAATAGATACATAGGCCGTGCCATTTGGTTGGTTGGAGGGTGGTGATGGAACGCGTAGCTGGCATGAGTCTGGTCAGGCTTTCTAGAAGAAACAGTTAGCAATAACAGAAGATACTGTTATAGCACATATTGGTGCTTGAGAGATACTGGGTACATGTGAATTCAGGATTCTGTCCAAGGATCCGAGCTAATGTTGACTTTGCTTAGCATACATACGGTAGGTGTTCCTGACCATTGTTTATACCAGCATAAAGAGTAAACATTTATATTGTTTGTGCAAGACGTCTCTACCGAGTTTGCATCGGAACTCCTTGCATCTGCTGGACCCGTTGCATGTTCGAACTGCCATTGCATGTCACCTCCCAAAAACAGGTAAATGTTCCCCTCCCATCCCAGCCCCAGACGCTGGTACCGCGGAAATTCCAAGGTTGGGTGAGATGCGATGAGACATTTGGAAGTAGCAGCAGCCGAGATCCCTCACCTCTCGCGCTTTCAAGGCTGGGGCACCATTCCAGCTGCTCTACGGTGGGGAGCGCGTGACTAGGAAACGGCGACTCATTCTTCGCCGCAAAAATCATAAATTTTCCGGCGCTTGAGAACCTTTCATGGCATTTGTAGTTCGTGCTCCGGTAAGGGCAGCGATGGCAACGCTAGTGGTGACAGCAGCAGCTCCAGTGACTTCTGCTACTCGTTGTTGTCTTCTATTACGCGGATCGCAGCGTGCGCAATCGAGTAACATTTTTCGTTTCTATCTCTCATCCTTTCTTTCTTTTTTTCTTTCTTTCTTTCTTTTGCTTTTTCTTTTTGCCGATGTAAATTTTGCGCCCGTTGAAATCTTCGTTTCTTTCCCGTTCGCCTGTCCCTTATAACCTGACACGAGTATTTATGTGCCACTTTCGTTACAGTGAAGTATTGTCGCAAAGTTCCAGTGAAATATTACGCGGATTCACAAAAAAACTCATGCATCAAATCTGTGTTCCTTTTACGATCCGTGGCCTCTCCCCCGTCTCGCTCCCCGTCTCACTCGCTTATACAACCTCCTCCATTTCTTATTCATTCCGGTATCCTCTTTCCTCCCTCTCTCTACCGTTTTCCCCTCTTTCCTCATTCTCCTTCCCGGTTTCTTTCCCCTTCCCCTTCTCTGCAGGAGCAGTACATTTGTTCCGTGAAGCGCAAAAACCCCGCCCTTCCCCGCATGCGCGCCGCTTTGCAGTCTCCGCCTCCTCCTCTTCCCCCTCTTCCTCCTCCTCCTCTTCGTCCGCCTCCTCCCTCGATTCCTCCGATTCCTCCCCCCACACCTCCTCTTCCGCCTATGCCACCGCCCCCCCGCTCCCGCACGACTTCTCCCCACGCCCTCTCCCCTTCGACCCGCAGCTGCTGCGCGGGCTGAAGCTCATCTGGGCCGCGGAACCTGCGCTGGGACATTCGATGGTGCGCAAACGGGAGCCAGGGGGAGGGTGGTCGGGCGAGGGAGGCGGGAGAAGGGGAAAGAGTGGGGAGAGAGGTTGGGAGGGAGAAAAGAGAGGTGTGGGGGGGGGGGGGAGGAAGGGGGGTTAATGTTAGGAGAATAGAAGGGGGTTGGGGATGGGGGCAGACGTGGATTGGATCGAAGGCCGAAGTGAAACAAAGGGGGGGTTGGGATGAGAGATTGTTCTGCGTTTGCATGACCTCGCTCGCCCTTTCTTGCGATTGAGTCGCTCAAAGAGTTGTTGTTTGTGTGATGTCAGTCCCCCTCCCCCTCCCCCCCCTTTTGTTGTAGAATAGAGGTCAGTGCTACTGTGATTATTTTTATTTTTATTCTATTTTTCTTTATCGCTTCACAGTTGACTCTCCCGCCGACTGGGTGCATGGTGTTGCTTCATGTGATGCCATGGAATGGCACATGGCATGGCTCGTGGCACATGGCTTGTGGCGTGGCACATGGCTGCATGGCACATGCCATGGCACATGGCGTGGCACATGGCTTTGCATGGCACATGGCATGACACTCATGCCGTTCAGGAGGGACATCCGGAGACTAACGAGCGTGTGGTGGGAGTGATGAAGGAACTGCAGGACTCTGGACTCACAGAGCAGGTATGTGCATGCGCTCTTTCTTTTAAGGTGCATCAAAATGCGAACATTCGCTGTGTGCCATTGCAATGCGTGGCTTTAAGGCGTTCATCCCATCTGTATCTCATCTCCCTGCCTTCTGTCCCCTCTTCCCCCCCGAACCCCCTCTCTGACCCTCCACTTCCCCCCCTTCCCACCTGTTTGTCCCATCCCATCACATCACTTTTCACCACCACGCCACACCGCACCACACCGCACTGCACCAATCCTCCCACCAGGGGCGTCCTGGCGAGTTGCTGCATCTGTCATCTTTCCTCCCCGCCACCCCTCTCGACATTTCTGCAGTTCACAGTCCCAAGTACATGCGTGCATTTGAACAGGTGTGCGTGGGAGAAGAGGGGGGGGAAGAGGGAGGGGGGGAGGGGGAGGGGTGATATACCTCTGAATGCAGCGAGCGGGTTGGAAGGAAGGAAGGGATGGATGCAGGGAAGGGAGGGATGCAGGGAAGGGAGGAACAAAATGAGTGTGTGAGAGCTTCTTCAGGGAGTGAGTAGGGTGTATAATATGCATGTACGAGGCCTTCACCACGGCAAGGCATGGATACCGCCTGCTGTTCTCTCCCCGCTTCTCTCCCCTTTTTCCCGTCAGTGTAGTTTCGTTCTGTTCTGTTATTTTAAGTTTTTTTTTCTTTATTTCTTTCTTTCTTTTCTTGTTATTATACATATCCTAGGTCTTACAAGCGCACTCACTTCCTTCCCGCCCTCTCACCAGTTTTGGTTCGTCTCAAAACCTTGTTCTTTCTCTTCCCCATTCCGCCCCCCTCAACATCCCTCCCCCCCCCCTCTTTCAGTCCATGGAAGCAGCAGCAGACGAAGGACTTGTGTTTCTAGATGGCTCTGGACCGACGTTTGCCACTATCACAGTGAGTGCAGACGTTCAAGCCGTTTCAGAAGAACCCCTTGTTGTTCCCCACACCATCGCTCGGCTTGGCCCCCCATCAGTCCATGGAAGCAGCAGCAGATGAGTGATTCTCGACTGCTCTGCACCTACATTTGCCACTGTCACGGTGAGAGCAAGGCTGTAGGAAGAGGGAAGGGGGGTGGAAGTGGGTGTGAGCGAGGAGAGGAAGAGAGAGAGAGAGAGAGGTGGAGGGGGAGGGAGAGGGACAGGTACGGGGAGAATGAGGTTTTTGGGTTGAAAATAACACATCGCCCGCCCCTTCAATGTCCCGACTTCCTTCTCATCTGTCTTAAAGAATATCCCCCTCCCAGCCCCCTCCCCCTCCCTTGTTACATGTGTGTTGTCAAGCACACAAAGCCTTCGTGACTCTATGTGCTCAAGCCCCTCCATTTCCTGTGCGCTGCACTGACTTGTCCCGTATGTTCTGCTCTGTTATTCTCTGCTGTGCTGTGCTGTGCTGTGCTGTGCTGTGCTGTGCTGTGCTGTGCTGTGCTGTGCTGTGCTGTGCTGTGCTGTGCTGTGCTGTGCTGTACTCCCTTGTGTGTACTGATGGCAACATGTGTATTCTGATGGCTCGCGGTGATGGTTCTCTATCACATAATGTTGCGTGGCATGGCATGGCATGGCATGGCATGGCATGGCATGGTATGGTGGCATGAGTGGCGCTGTGCAGACCTACAGTGACACGTTAAGCGCATGTGGTGCAGGCCTCACACTCATCGATGCTCTCGTAAGTCAGGGGCCTTGAGTCATGGGCCTTGAGTCAGGGGCCTTGAGTCATGATTCATGGTGGTTCATGAGTCATGACTTCTGAGTTTTGCTTGCTACTCATGGCCCGTATCCACTTCACACTCTCTCCGAGCGCGATTCCCTGCTCCATATGTGCTCCTCCTATGTTTCTTCTTCTGCGTCTGGGGATCCTCTGACCACTTCCTGCTCCCTTTCACTCCCGACTTCTGCTCAGCGGCCATCCCCGCGCCCCCTACTCCCCCTGCTCGCCTTCCCCCTCGCTGTCCCCCCTTTCCCCACCCTGGCCCCCTCTCCCCTGTCTACCTTTTCCAGGTTGCAGCAGAGGAGATCAATTCCTCTGTACCCCCACCAGCAGGGTTCGCTCTGGTGCGCCCCCCCGGGCACCATGCGGTGCATGCAGGCGCCATGGGCTTCTGTCTCGTGGACCACGTGGCTGTGGCAGCAGCCCTGCCTGTCGCTGCACCTGCACCTGCACCTGCACCTGCACCTGCACCTGCACCTGCACCTGCACCTGCACCTGCACCTGCACCTGCACCTGCACCTGCACCTGCACCTGCTGGTGCTGCCACCCACCGCCACCACCTGTGCTTCTCTTCTCCTCTGGTCTTCTGCGTCTGGGCTCTCTCTAACCTCTTCCTGCACCCCATCCCTCCCTCCGCTTCCCCGCCGCCCCCACTGCTACCCTCTCCCTGGCCGTTTCCCTCTCCCGTCCTCAGGTAGAAGCAGAGAAGATCAATCCTTCTGCCCCTCCACCAGCAGGGTTCGCTCTGGTCCGCCCCCCTGGCCACCACGCAGTGCATGCAGGCGCCATGGGCTTCTGTCTCGTGGACCACGTCGCTGTGGCAGCGCGGTACGCGCAGAGCAAGGGGCTCAGGCGCGTGTTCATCCTCGATTTCGACGTGCACCACGGCAACGGCACGCACGACCTGTTCTACAATGATCCAGACGTGTTCTTCATGTCCACGCACCAGGTAAAGGGGATGGGCCGGAGTGGGGGGGGGGGGGGGTGTTGTGTGAGATGTGCACCATGGTACCGGCATGCACGATCTGTTCTACAATGATCCGGACGTGTTCTTCATGTCCACGCACCAGGTAAAGGGGATGGGCCGGAGTGGGGGGGGGGGTGTTGGGTGAGATGTGCACCATGGTACCCGCATGCACGATCTGTTCTACAATGATCCGGACGTGTTCTTCATGTCCACGCACTAGGTAAAGGGGATGGGCCGGAGTGGGGGGGGGGGGGGGGTGTTGGGTGAGATGCGCACCATGGTACCGGCATGCACGATCTGTTCTACAATGATCCGGACGTGTTCTTCATGTCCACGCACCAGGTAAAGGGGATGGGCCGGAGTGGGGGGGGGGGGGTGTTGGGTGAGATGTGCACCATGGTACCGGCATGCACGACCTGTTCTACAATGATCCGGACGTGTTCTTCATGTCCACGCACCAGGTAAAGGGGATGGGGGGAAAGGGGTATGGGGAGTGAGTGATGATTGTAGGTTCAAAGGGATTCATCTCATGATCCATTGTTGAATGATTTCAATCTTCTTCGTGTCCACGCACCAGATAGCGAGGATGGGGTGTGTTCTTCACTCTTGGAGTAGCACCCATGAATTGCGTCTTTTACGGGCCTTGATGTGCTGTTGTTCTTTTCAATAATTGTCTCCTGCAATATCTTTTTGTCTGCTGGTGGTTTGTTTTTCCGGGCCTTTTTATCGCCTGCACATCGTTCCGCCTCCCTGCTTCCCTTAAATGGGAGCAGCACAACCCTGCATGCATATGCAGGTGCTGTGCTGTCTTGATTCGATGCAGAGGCTGGCTTTTATACGTGCGCACAGTAACCAATGGCAGTCTGGTTACCACATGGTAGTTAGCTACCGGTGGTGATGATGCTGCTAGAAGCTTGCAAAGCCAGTAACTTGATTCTGGTGCTTCCTTCCTCGCTTATGCGTGGAAAGGTCTTTCTTTCTATGCTCTGATGGCTGAGGAAGCGGTAAATCAGCAAGTACAGTACAGGTATAGTCCTTTCTTTTCTTTGTCGTACGCTCTCTTGGTGCTTTTGGTGAAAGTCTATCGACTCCTCGAAATCATTGCTCTGCCTTTCTTTCCCATCTCCCTCTATTTTTAACGCTGTTGTGCTGTGCACACTCGGGTCAGGAGGGGACCTATCCTGGCACGGGTCGGTTGGATGAGGTGGGGCAAGGGGCAGGCGAGGGCACGACAATAAACGTTCCGCTGCCCGGAGGGGCGGGAGATCTTGCCATGGCAGCCGTTGTGGATCGGCTTGTAGCACCAGCTGTAGCACGGTTCAAGCCAGATATTATTCTGGTGTCTGCTGGGTGAGTGTGGGAAGAGTCATTTGGAATGGGGAAAGGGTGGATGAGGGGGAAATGGGTAGGGGGGAAAGGGAGGGGGGAGTGAGGAGGTGGCGAAGAGTTGATTTAGTAGCTTGACAATAGTCCTTGAAACTCAGTTGTCTCGCATCATAAAGTTGTTTAGCTTCCTGCACAATATTTCATCCCCCATCCCCCATTTCCTTGGAACTTGGTTGTCTCCCTTTTCAATTCCATACAGATATGACGCCCACTATCTAGATCCCCTGGCATCTCTTCAATTCCGCACCTCCACGTACCACCGTCTAGGCCAACAACTTACGCAACTCGCCCGACAATACTGTAACGGCCGCTTAGTATTCTTCCTTGAGGGCGGTTACAATGTGAAGGCACTTGCTGGGTCTGTAGCTGACACCGTTAGGGGAGTTATTGGGGATGATGCTATGGCGTCTGAGGGTTTAGATGTAGATGAGGCAATCTACGAGGAGCCTGAAAGCAGGGTGGAGGATGTGATTGAGCATTGTCGTAGCATTCACTCGCTGTAAGAGATAGTTAAAGAAAGGCAAAAGTGCTGGCTGCGGCAATTATTACTTGCTTTATTTGGATCTGCGATGTGATACACTGATACTATTTCGTCCATACTATTTGAGAGCTTGACAAGCAGTCAGTTCTGGGTGTCGTACTGAGTGTAACAGATGTAGACGTAACTTTCGCCACTTCATTTCGAAGAGATTCGTTTATCATTCCTTCCTCCCGTCCCTCCCTCAGTTTCCCACCTCTCCCCCGTTTGCTCTTTCATAAGCGATCACTTTCCAGCCGCATTTCGTTTCTTCTCTCCGCCATCTCACGCTCATTACTCGTGATCTCTTCCGCGCCTTCGTCAGTCAGTAAGTCGTGGGTTTCTTCTGCTCCTTTTCACCGTGTCGGAACTCTGGCCAAGGCTCTTATCAGCAGAGGGGCTTGGTTCTGTCGCTTGCTGTAGATCTCACTGACGAGTTCGATCGGGGCTAAGACGAGGAGATTTTGGTTAGGGGGTGCTTGCTGGAGTGCTTTCATCTCAGCGCTTGAATCTGTAGCGCGTTCGTAGCTCTTTCTGTATCAGCGAGTCAGCGAACGTTGCGTGGCGGCAGCACCTGCAGCAGATCTGAGATATCGAAAGCGAGAGATCGACGGCCGGGGAGGACAGTGCAGCGCAAGAGGAGTAAGGAGAGGAGGAAAGACCAGGAAGAGGCGCAGCAGATCAAGGAAAGGAGAGGCGGCGGCGGCGGTGGTGGTGGTGGTGGTGGTGGTGGTGGAAAGCAAGACGAAGTCGGAGGAGAGTTAACGGCGAGAGCGCGATGGATTTCGGCGGGCCGTCTAGCAGTCCGGCGGGGTCGATGCCGAGCAACGACGTGGTGATGGATCAAGTGAAGCAGCAGCTCGCGCAACAGTACGCCGAGGAGTTCTTCGCGGTACGTACGTTACGTGTGTGCGTCTTGAGGCGCCTAGAAAGGACTTCTGATCTAACTGCTGGAACTGAAAACTCGACTCGGATTTCGCCGCAAACTGCGCCGCATTACGCGGAGGAGTTCCGCTTCGCTCAAGCTAAGATACAATCAACTGCTGACACACGATGGATTGCAGCGCGTTCGCGTACTGGATACTGGCCTGAACCCAGGTTCGGATCCGCTAGCAGGTTCGGATCCTACCAGCAGGTTCGGATCCACCTGGCAGGTTCGGATCCACCTGGCAGGTTCGGATCCAACAGGTTCGGAACCTCCCACCAGGTTTAGATCCAAGAGTAGGTTCTGTCCGTGGCATCGGATCGGGTCGGATCGAATTCGAATAGCCTGTCGCGTACGACTTGGGGTTTCTGATCTCAACAGCGAGCCGTGCAACGTGTCTTGACGGCTAGCCGTGTAAATTGTCGTTCTCAGTCTCAGGTCCTCTGTTCGTCGCTTCACAGTAGTTCCTCTGGCATCTCCTCCTTTCCGTTCCCACTCATTCCCCTAAGGGCGTGTAAGATCCCCGTGCACACAGAATCGGCCATCAAAATTAGGTGGCCGTAGCGAAAGTAACCATTTCGTGATCGGTTTGCGAATCTCGTCAATTTCAACCATCAAATTTGTGATTTGATGGCCGGAAGACTCTTTTCCGACGCGTGGTCGACTTCAAATCGGCCATGCTGTCGACAGCAGCTGTCTACAGTGAGAAACGAAGTCGCATACGCTGCTACAGTGAAATTGCGACATCGTATTCATGTGTGCGACATCGTCGCACCAAGTCGTAAAAAAGGACAAACCAAAATCTTCCACCTCTGTTACAGCGGCCAGCAAAACCGTGTCAGATTTGGAGGCCACACTGAGTTGGCCGAAAATTTGTCGACCTGGTGACGACTAATCTGTCGACCTTCGCGAAAGCTTTGTCGACCAAAATGGTCGACAAAATTCAGCCAAAACGTGTGCACGGGGATCTTACACACCCTAATTATTTCATCCCCTTGTTCCCGTCCCATCTCCCTTCTCTCCCACTGCTCCACAACCCCTCATTTTCACTCAGTACCCAACCTTTCCCCCCGAACCTCCTTCCTCCTTTCCCGTCCCCTTTTCCCGTCTCCTCCTCCTTCCACTCCCCCTCCCCCTTCCCCCTTTGCTTCCCCAATTTCCTCCCGCGCACCCTCCGCTATGGTGGGCCAGGTTGTGAGAGACAAGTGTTTCGCCAAGTGCATTCCCAAGCCAGGCTCCTCTATAAGCAGCAGCGAGAGCACGTGTGTCACGCGATGCGTGGAGCGGTACATTGAGGCCACAGGGATTGTGTCCAAAGCGGTGCTGCAGCTTGGGCAACGGTGACTGGGGTAATTGCTCAGGTGATTATGTTTTCATTAGGTCGAAAGAGTACGGATTGGGGTGCTCGTTTACCATATCTTGCATGTTGTTCAGTATTGATCAATACCTAGGTATCACATATCTCAGGTAGTGATGCACTTATTGCACATGCCCTACCTCCAAGTGCTTACACAAAGATTGTCTTAGGGTACATTCCTGTGTCAACATTTATGTCTCAATCCTCGTTTTCCCGAGTCGCGTCGAAAAAAATTGGCAATCTCGCGTCACAAAAAATCAATGTACCACGAAACTAGGCGACCATGCGAAATGCACAGTTGGGCACATTTGATTGGGCGAAAAATACTGTACACCCGTTTCTTCAGTCTCGCAGCTGGGGTGTGGTTTCGACGCGCGGGATTTCTTTCCCGCGCGAAATTGGCATTTCGGGAAGACCAGGTGCATTGACATTTCGAACCGCATGCGATTTTACAGAAATGACGCGTCGGTTTTCAATTCGTCCGCGACGTCAGCGCGTTTCACGCTGACCAATAAAAAATACAGTCATGGTCGCTAGAAAGCGACTCGCGATTGAGACATTGTACGTTATGTCGTTTTTACGCGTCACAAACGCTTTGAGACACAAATGTCGACACAGGAATGCGCCCTTAACTGTTTGTTTAGGTACACACATCCACCAAGGCACTATGAACTTGCAAATGTCAGTACTCTACGTTGTCTCATGGGCAGCTTGTGCAACAGTGAGCAGGGACAGTGAACCTTAAAATGTGGCTTGGAATGCCAAAAGAAACTGGTCGGCTCCTCCTTTATAAGGGACAGTAACCTCGGCAGCAAGCCAGCAGGTCACTAACCACTCCCATGCACAATGGGAGCCAAAAAAAGGGGGGAGGAAGGGGGGTCCTGATCTCTCTCTTCGCCTTCATGCATCACCAGACCACATCCAAACAGTCGCACGTGTGTGGAGAAGCGCAGAGCAGCCACATGGGTGCAATCCACTGCACCGCAGTAGGGCGCGGCGCAGTGCGCTTCCTTTGTTTGTCTGCAGCTGCTGACACCCAGCAAGAATGCTTCCGCATGTGCTGGTTACCACAGCGTGGCAGCACGAGAGGGAGCGGGCATGGCTACACAGAACACGGCTGAGACCGAGCATAAGAGTAACCACACATGCACGCACGCACGCATGCACACATGCATGTGCACATGTGTACTCGCGACGCGAGAGGCTACACGCAAAGGAAGCAGAAAGTAAGCGCGCGTGCGCATGCGCAGTGACACGGCACGACACGGCAGTAAGGAAGCATGCGTTCACGTGAGCGCGGTCATACGACATGCAGCTCAGCCAGGAAGAGCGCGACGAGATCAATGAAGAGCATGTGAGAGCCATCCACGTGCTGCAGGTCCAGCAGGTACTTGTCCTCGCGCACTCGCATCAGCTGCTCAGAGAGTGCGGGGAAGGAAGGGGAGAGTAGTAGATTTACGAGACGTCTCACATGTGCTGTAGGTCCAGCAGGTTCTTGTTCTCGCGCACTCGCATCAGCTGCTCACAAAGAGTGCGGGGAAGGGACGGAGGGGGGAGTACTAGATTTATGAGACGTCCCACACGTGTTGCAGGTCCAGCAGGTACTTGTCCTGGCGCACTCGCATCAGCTGCTCATGAAGGGGAAGACTCGGTGAAGAGCGGGGCAAAAAGGAGGTGAAATGATTATGCATTGGGTTATAGGAATGCAGGGAGATGGGCGGTGAGAGAGTAATCAGAAAAGTTGGGTTGTGGGCGGAAGAGGAAAGAGAATCCGCACCTGCATTTCAAATCGGAGAATTCTCCTCAACTCCCCTGAAAACATTGCTTCCGTCGCTCTCTCTTGCTGCTGCCTCTGCTGCGAAAGAGCCCTTTCGGTCTCCCCGGCCCCACCAAAACTGGTATCAGAGCCTCCCTGCCATCCTTCCAGTTCCATCCCCTTACCGCTTCCCCTCTCCCCTCCACTGAAACCACCACCACCACCACCACCGGCAGCAGCACAACCACCAGCACCACCATCAGCAGCACCACACGAAACCGCTCCTGAACAGCAATGTCCCTCCCTACACATCCCCACCCCCACTCCAACACCCATGCCCATCCTCGTTCCTGTACCCACACCCACGCCTGCATCCATCTCAGGTGCAACCTTGGCTCCCTTACACTCCCAACCCACACCTTCTCCTCCTACTCCTGCTCCTACTCCCAACGCCGCTGCACCCGTTGTGGAAGCAGCAGGGGCTGTGTCGGCAAACGGTGCGCCTGTGTCGGTGTGTATTTGCAGGGGGCGTGATGGAGTAGGGGCCTCCCACCGGCACCTGACGGTGTGATTGGTGGTTTTCTTCCATCTCACGTGCAGCGCGTGCAGTGCTCGCAGCACCTCAGTCATTATGTCCATTGGCTGGGCGCGGGACTGGGAGGAGCAGAGAGAAAGAGAAAGACGAGAGTAAAGGCAGGTGAGGAGAACGAGTGGAGTTTGCTCGCAGCACCTTTGCCATTATGTTCATTGGCTGGGCGCGGGACTGGGAGGAGGAGATGGAGGGGGCGAGACAGGGAAAGAGGGAGGGGAACCAAGAGGGATGGAAAAGGCGGGTGCAGAAAGGTGAATGTGGATTTGCTGATGCATGCTGATGCTCGCAGCACCTCTGTCATTATGTCCACTGGCTGGGCGCGAGATTCGGAGGAGACAGCACAGAAAGAGAGAGAGGGACACGGAGAGGAAAGGATGGGTAAAGAGAGGTGAAGGTGGGTGTGCAGCGCATGCAGTGCTCGCAGCACCTCTGTCATTATGTCCATTGGCTGGGCGCGAGACTGGGCACAGGATCGAGATGGAGAGAAAGGAACGTTGGAAAGCATGAGTGGGTAAAGACAGGTGAAAATGAGTCTCGCAGCACCTCTATCGTTATGTCCACTGGCTGGGTGCAAACACACCAAGAAAACGCACCTGTAGTCCCAGCGCCCATTTCCGCTCGGCCACAACTCGACAGTGGTGGTGCACGGGAGAACCCCCCATCATGCCTCCGCCCACTCCCCCGCTGCCCATGCCGCCATGCATGCCCCCATGCATGTTCATGGCCATGGTCGCCGCGTTCCCGCCCACAGATCGCCTCTGCTGCATCGCGTTGGGGTGCGCGTGTGCATCCCGCGCCCCTGCTGCTGCCAGCTCCATGAGATGCCCGTGAGACTGGCATGTGGGATGAGAGCATGAGAGGGAACGGGAGACGACAGGAGATGATATCAGACATGTGAATGCACTCAGGCGCTACTGGATGCCCGACTGGTGGAGTAGGAAGGGGAATGGGAGATGACGGGGGATGACGGGGGATCATGGCAGGCCTATGATGTGCACTCTAGTGCCCGCGCCCTTGCTGCTGCCAGCTCCATGAGATGCCCGAGCGACTTGAGGCCGGGATGAGGGGAATGGGAGAAGAATAGAATGATGATGGTGGAATGGGACGGTGCAAGCCTCTGAGGTGCACTCAAGCACGCCTGCCCTGCTGCTGCCAGCTCCATGAGATGCCCGAGCGACTGGGGTGGGCGGGATGAGAAAGGGAACCGGAGCCAACAGGGGATGATTGGGGATGGTGGTGGACGGAGCCTTTTGAATAAACCTAGACAATGGTGGAGAAATGGCACACGGAGATGCGATGCGAGGATGCTATGGGACAAGAGGAGACAATTCACACAGAGAATACAGAGGCCTAATGGGATACGGTGGTGTGTCTGGGAGGCGAGGCGCAAAATGAATACTCCTTTCACCCGTCCCAGAATCTAGTGGACACGTTAACTCGCCTTTCCATTCCTCTCCTCCCCCCACATCCCGCCCCTCACATCGCCGCACCTCCCCTCACCTCTTCCGCCCTCTTCTGTCAACTACTCCTCACTCCCTCCTTGCTTCCCCTTTCTCCCCACCTTCCCCTGCCCCCTTCCTTTGAGTTTATGTTACGGCTGCCCAACTTAACTAGCCTGCCCAAGCGAGCTCACCCGCTGTTTGATCTCTTCTATTTCAGATCCCAAATATCCCGTCGCGATGCGGCTCCTGTTGTCCAGCATGAGGTAGTATGCCACTGTGGCCTGGTGGCGGGAGGGGGAAAAGAGGCAAGGGAAAGGAGAGGGATGTGAAGGGTTGGAGATGGACAAGCTATTTGAGGCGCCTCAATACTCCTGCCCCGATGCCCCGTCACGATGCGGCTCCTGTTGTCCAGCATGAGGTACCATGCCACTGTGGCCTGGTGGTGGGTCGGGGGAAGCGAGAGGAGGTGGGAAGAAGGGGTTTTTGCCTCATTAGGATCGTGCCTCCAATGCGATGCGATGCGGATCCTGTTGTCAACCATATGCAACTGTGGCCTAATTTCACTAGAATCGTGCCTCGAACGCGATGTGATGCGATGCGGCTCCTGTATGCAACTGTGGCCTGGTGGGGGGAGAAGAAGAAGGGGGAACAGGAAGAGCGGGAAGGGTCCAGCTTTAGGTCAAACTCTACTGCAGCCTCAGGTGTCGAAGGGAGAGGGAGGGGTGGAAAGGGGGGAGAGGGGAGAGGAGGAAAGCGGGAGAGGGGAACAGGGGGAGGACGAGGGAAGCAGGAGCATAAGTTGCTTATTGAATCTTACAAGGAAACGCTTAAAAAAAAAAAAACTGCAATTTGTCGCCAATCAAGTTCGTGCCTCCCAACCCAGAAACCATGACCCAAAAACCCCGACCCAGAAACCCTGGATCCTGGGTGGACCCTGGCTTGCACTTGCAGCATTGAGGCGGATCCCATCAAATCAAATCCAATCTTACCTTGGTGGCTTGTCTGTTTCTGAGAGCTTCAGTGAGCTGGCGTTGGTCGAATCCCATCTTCACCACTGCTGCCAGCACGTCCTGGTCTATCTGTTGTTGGGATGGGTACACAGGGGTTCAGAGGGGTAAACAGTTTTCGAGTCGACTCAGAAACAGCCTTTGTGAGCTGGCGTTGGTCGAACCCCATCTTCACCACGGCTGCTAACAC